TAATTTCCCAGATTTCAGTCCAGATATTTTATCTTGCCAATTCAAAGTAAAAAATGATTACTGAAGTGTGCTGGGTATTGAAATAACAAGCTTTAGAGAATAATTAAACTGGAATGAATATAGCCTTCCCTTTTCTCCCAGTGGAGTGAGTTTAACGAAAACAAATAGAAAACCGTGGCTCTGTTTTGTACCAAGCTTGTGAACTTGCACTGCTAATGAATCTTGAGCTTTCCCAGAAGTAAATTACAAATACAAGTGTCTCTTGAGAAAATTCACATCTTACTTGGTCAATTCAAAATCATCAGCCATTGAAGTCAATAAGGATGGATTCAGCTTTCCAGTGTTTGTTACCAATATTTATATGGAAAACATACTTAAAGGTATTACATAAAAGCTGCATATAGAAACTTGAATGGGAATGTCGGGGATGTTCATTAAACTCTTCGCAGTCTGTATTCCTTTTTCAATCTGCCCAAATCCCCCTGGAAAAATGACACATTTATCAGCTCGACATCTTGTGGAAAGCAGCTTACAGTGGAGCTCTCTTTAAAATTTATCGAATATTAGTTTCTACAAACAAAGCATCCAAACCTCTTGTTATCCCAGTGTCAAACCTAGTTTATTTGCTTCTTCAAAGTTCCCTAGAGGCTAGCAATAGGCACAGGAATTGGACAGTGGCATTAAGCACGAACAAACGGTTTTTAAAGATTTTTCTAGTTATCTGATGAAAACATGACCGTGGTCAATAATCTGCAGCTTTCATTTGTTTGCGTAAAAACTCAGCATATTCTCCCCCAACAGAACATGTATGTATATGATTGAGTTAGGGAGATTCCCTGTGTGTTTAATTGACTGGAGGAATAATAACCTCCATAGTCCACTGCTTATGTTATATCTTTGGATAATGACTTTAGGTTCTTTTTTTTTTCTAATATGTACGACTGTACTGCAGTCGTAATACAAAGATGTTACAGTTTCTGTGTTTATATAGCCATTGTAATACATTTGTGGAGGAGGCAGTCTTATCTCCCCACCCACCCACTCCACTTCCCACTCCACCAACTGGGTAAAAAGTTCCATGAAAAAAAAGAACCACCAGGGAATTTCCTGGCTACAGGCCTATAATGTTTGTTCGTTACTTGTTAACAATATGTAACACCCATAACAAAGCCAGCTGATTGTCAAAAATGCTTAAAATATAAATGATGCATGCAATTTCAGGGTTGCTATACATGTACTAGTATTTCTGAAAATGTATACATATTTTTAATAATTTGGCTCTCAACCTTTGTGTCTCAGGGCCCATCAGTTGAATCAGAATCTGTTATAATAGCTGTACATGATCAACAAAAAATAGATCATGTATAATTAAGTATGAAGATTGATAATTGCGAACAACCCTTCAGTTGTTTCTAATCAAGGCTGGGTGGATGATGTACACTTCTTTGAGTAGTGCTGAAATATTTACTACAAAGGTGCTTTATGGTGATTAACAAATGGTTTTTCACACGCACATTCAATAACCCATTAGAAGTCTCTGATTAGTCTAATGGTAATTATATTTTCATAATGACATGACTTTTGTGGTCTTTAGTTATTTATGTCAACACGTGAAAAGATTATCACAGAGACTGGTGATGGTACTTGAACATTGTGTCAGCTACATGTAGGTAATCAGAAGTGATGAGGATCATTAGTGTACAGGGCTGCAGAGTCGATCACTTTCTGGGAAAATAATCCAAGTAATGCCACTTATCAGGCAATGTTGAATTTAACTTCTGTACCGAAGCCTGTTTCACAAAAGAATTTTAGGCTGGAAGTTGGTATAAGATATACATTTTAGTCTAGTTTGTTTATTTCTTTTGTAAAACTGGTCCTGGGAAAGGCCATTGCTCATCTCTTGCTGTGGTCAGTGATTATAAGTGTCAAGGTACATGTCAGGAAAGTTATCCACGTGACATTAAACCTGGTAATTTACTTACTTTCAGTGTCAGTGATCAAAGATTACCTGTCAGTTGAGTCAGGTGTAAAGTTACCTGAGTGTGTAACATCCTTTAACCTGGTGTGACATGTTTTACCTGATAATTCACCTGAGTGCTTTCAGTGATCAAAGCTTACCTGTCAGATGAGTCAGGTGTAAAGAAGTTACCTGTGTGACATGTTTTACCTGGTGTTTAACCAGGCTAAGGTCAGTGTCATTGTTTGCCACTTGACAGCTTACCTGGAAAATGAGTCACCTGTCAGGATATTACCTGTAAACTACCTGTAGCTTGTCATTTGTCACTTACATTGTACCTGAGTATAAAACATGTCATTCACTGCCTGGACCATTGAAATTTAGGTTTGACACTGCATGTTGCCAGGGGATTGATCATATATAAGGAAACCCCTGTGCCCCATCACTATAGTTCTCACTTGACTTTGAGATAGTAACAACCCTGTACAACCAAAGCAAGCATCATGGAGGTGACTCAAATGAAGCCTGTGTTTGTCTCTGAGGAGCCAGAACCAGACTTTGGCACAGCCTACAAGAAGATGAGCCTAGGAGGTAGACAAGCCATCCATCTGGAGAGCCGCATGTATGAGCAGAGGGTTCGCTATGATAGAGCCATGAAGCGAGGGGATAGAAAGGTTCTGAGCATTCTCCGCCTCAGGCTCATGGTCACGGATGGAGTGTGTAAGATGTTCCAGGAATATGCCATGCGCAAGTGCGAAGAGCTCAGTCATATCCCTATTAATGACTAAAACTGAAGACACATGGAAATAAATATTCACTTTATGATTCCTAGTTTTCCAGCTCTAACAACTGAAGTTGTTGAGCAGCCTTTAGGTATCAAGAAAAGCCCTTTTCAGGGCTCTTGGATGAGGTCTTTGGTAAGACCGTCAAATCCTCCCAGAAAAGCTATACCAGTAGTGTGTGCTGTTGCCATGTATAATGTAATTTTAAAAATTTAAAAATAGTAAATTTTTTTAAAGTTAAAATATGACTTTGTTTTCTCTCTATTTCTCTCTGTGTGTATGTTTGTATGTGTGTGTGAAGGTGAAAATAGGATAGTTTTTTTAACCAATCATTACATATATGGAATTGAGTAATAAAGCTTGTGTGTGTGCATGTTTTACATCTGAAGCAAAATTCATCAAAAGTTATTCATTTCCTCTGCATCATCGTGGTGAAAAATACCCAAAGGAAAAATGTGAGCGATAAATCCCTATGCATATTTTAAAGATGTATCTAAATGGAAGATCAGTCCAGATTAGAATCAAAGGAATTAAACCAGACATGAGATCATATTCAGTGACATATCGGGGCGTACTCATCACAAAGTTGAAGCTGAAGAGAATTATTTCCATTAATTACTATCGAGTTCCATCAGTATTGCCTCATTTAGGGAAATATTAGTCCTGACTTGAAATTCAATTTCGTGAGTTTAGCAGTGGATATTAATTTTTTTCCCGGAAGATAGGAGAATGTCTGCTGGTCCCTTGTGAAATGTTATCCTGGCAAAATAAAATAAAAAATTAAAAAAAGAAAGTGCTGCATTTATTGATTGATATGTTTATTTATCATTTATTTATTTATTACGGTACGTGTTGATTGCAATTACTTCTCTCTACATCAGTTGATTGGAAAGCAATGGATGAAATTTAAAAATTCTTGAAAATAATTTTAATGCTCTTGAAGTAGATTTGATATTGATAGCTATGGCAAAAAGTTAGCAGAATGTTGGCAAAATTGGTCTTAAATCGGGGCGGATTTAGGCCGTCTTCTGGGTCTTCTGGAAGACGGTCAGATTTTCAAGTTTACATTGACGGGTATCTAATGTTTTCTGTCAGAAGATGGTCAAAATGGAGGATGGATCAACAAAGATAATTCAGAAGACTGTCAGAATATATCTCTGGATCCGCCCCTGTAAATGATGCTTTGAGTGAAATGTTGTGCAAATTTGACAATTGTTTTGGTTTTAGTGTCCCATCTTGTTGCCTTGCCATCATACTCATGTGTTACCAGGTCTCTGCAACTTGAAAAATCAAGCAAGGTGATATTTTCAAGATAATAAAAAATAACACTGCATTGAAAGTTAAATCATTTGTTGATATTTTGTCAAATGTCATTCTTGCTCCCACATGACAACCTAATAGCTGAGGGAGTCATTAGGAATTAGGCCCTCGAGAAAGTTCTAGTCTACTGATTATGGGATTCAATTGTGAAACAAAATGTCAGCTTGTTGTTGGGATTGCTTTTTCACAATTTCCAATGGTCACATTTGGGGAATTGTATGGGGAAAATACTTACGTAAATTTGATGTAGATGGATCACATTCATTTGAGGTTATATTGCAAACCTAAGGGGTGCATGTTCTTTGATAATTGGCCATACAAGTAATGTATAACCATATACAAATGATTTATGAAATATGATTTTGTATTTTGTAAAGATTAGGTTTTTAAAGACTACTCTTCCAAGACCAACGAGATGACAAAATAACATTGATTTTGGAGGCTCAGACATTGGGAATTATATTCTGAATATATAAGATTAAAATATGAGAATAGTGACTATTGCTTATGAAATTCAATAAATTTATTACATATTTCTTCAATCATTGATTCAATAAAAATGATGTACTGTACAAGAAGCTCTCTCTCGCCTCCCACTTGTCAAGGTATTAATTAATATGGCTCCTTATTATAGCTGACAAGTAACTGATAGCTACATAACAAGTCGGGGAAGTGGATGTGATTTACATGAGTGAAAAGCACATAATGATGTCACATCCACCTTGCTGATGATTGGTGTACCAGTATGGGACTTGTAATCTGGCGAATGTCAAGAAACATTCATGTGTGATGTGCAAATGTGAGACATGCCCCGCTTGGGTCTATCGAGAATAAAACACTGATCCCAGCATGAGTCATTTCACATTCATCAGCAGCAGTTGCTAACTTGGTAAATTAGTAACTAGGTAAATTAGTTCAAATATAGTCTAACTCTGTTCCAGGGATGATCCAGATGGGTATGAAGAGATAGCAAGTCTTCCAGGACAGGCACGTGTTGGCGTGAACAAGCTAGCGTCTCTGCTCACTCCTCTAGTACAAAAGGGGCTAAAAACAGTTCTCATATTTGGTGTGCCTAACCATTTACCAAAGGTATTGCATTTCCATACTGTATTTAAAATGACTCCTGAATTTTAGTTGACTTTTTGATTTAGATAAATAAACCTAAAACTCTGCAGAAAATAAAAGGCTTTTGAATAAATCAAATTGTTGATTTTATCTTTACTGTTCTGAGGAATAAATATAAGCTTGCTGACGGTATTTTAATTCTTCTTTAGGAGATCGGTTATGGATACACATACAGTTTCATATTTGATCAGTATATTTATTTCTTTGTTGTTGTTTTAATTTTTTTTGGATAGCTCTGTACTCAAATTTATGTCTCAATTTCAGGATGCAGCAGGCAGTGCGGCAGATTCCCAGAACTCTCCAGTAATCGCTGCCATTCAGCTTATTCGTCGACTGTTCCCAGACCTCTTAGTAGCCTGTGATCTGTGTCTATGTGCATATACTAACCATGGACATTGTGGTGAGTATCCACAGCTCATTTTCAGAGGAATTTATCACGCCATTTGTGCATTTTCATATTTTAGTCATTTTTTAATCATTTTATTAGGTGCATTGAGATTATATAGACTGTTTCATACAAGAATAACCAGCTCTATAAATCAGTGTGTTTGAGCAAATGACTCCAAAGTAAGCCATGAAACTCGGGTTTGACTGAACTGACCTTGTCTCCTCATGCAATAAATGCAGCCAACTGACTTCTGTGTGCTATTCTGCATATCGTTTTGCAGCATTTACATTTTATTGAAAGTCTGGTGTACTGAACCACAATATCCCATCAACTCACAGTGTTGCGACTGACCTCAGAAGGTGAGGTTTGTAGCACCTAAAGCTGATTGATAGCTCCTATATAAGACGTCTGAAGTGAATATATTGCTGGTATGGATCATTTCCTGAAATTTATTGAATGAATAAAGAATGATGAAATCCTGATTAAATCAGTGCATGAATGAGAAAGTTTTATGTGATTACACGATGGATTTGGCAAAGGGCATTGTGAGGCCAGTGGAAAGCTAATGACAACCTGGTGATTGTGGTGCAGAAAGGGCATACTGTATAGAGGAGAAATAGATAAGACTATGAAACTCAGGGTGAATTTTATTTATTTGTTTACTTATTTATTTATCATTTATTATTTATTTTATTATTTATTTATTTTTGGGAGGAGAGTGAAGTAGTAATTTGAAAGTATGTGTTATAATGTTTAATGTTTAAGCACACCATCGATCTTTATTTTCAGGAATTTTGTATGAAGATGGCTCAGTTAACAATGAGGCCAGTATACGACGGCTGGCGGAAGTGGCCCTTATCTATGCCAAAGCTGGTATTTTAACAGATATTTTACTCATATTGACTTAAATAAGTCTGAGATTTGCAAAAGAATATATTGATCAAAAACTAATTAAAATCATTCGTAGTTTAATGATATATGTAGAATTAAATTATGTGGATGTCAGTGACCTCCGAGATAAGGTTGAAAGTTGCGGCATGGATGTCATCTGCCATTGTTGTCAGATTTATGATGTTTCCTTTACTCTGATTGGTTAATGATAACAATCTGGATGTCATTCCTCAGTATCTGTCAGTATTATCAAACCACTAATTCCTGAATAAAAGATCATATTCTGTGCTTATTATAAAATAACATTTATTTATCTGTTGTTCTTTGAGCATTATTTACAATAATTAATTTTTTATTCTCTGTTTCCAAAAAATGTGAAAATTTGCATGGCTTGATCCATAAACATACAATGAGGCTAATTGTAAAAGTGAAGCTTATCTATGTTAAAGCAGGTAGTGGTATTTAAAGAAATATGGTAAATCTATAGGTATTCGTGTTTGGTCCTTATTACCTTAAATATATATCCTTTCCTTTCACTGTTTTGTATTGCTCTTATTACCTTAAATATATATCCTTTCCTTTCACTGTTTTGCATTGCTCTTATTACCTTAAATATATATCCTTTCCTTTCACTGTTTTGTATTGCCCTCATTACCTTAAATATATATCCTTTCCTTTCACTGTTTTGAAAAAATAATTAGGTATCTTTTTTCACATACACGCAAACAAACCAAGTTCAGTTGCAATAACTGTTTCTCCTTAAGATACAAATGTAATTATCTTTCCATATGTTTCTGAATATTTTTTTTTAAATGACTATTTTCTCAAATGAACACTTTTGCTATTAAGTAGCTCTAGCATTTCATCCCAGAGTAACTCTCGTCAATTCTTCCATTAGAATGGGATATATTGGATCCCTGGAGACGTTAAAAAAATTGCCTGACAATAAGCTGAATTTTTTTCCCTATTTCTCTAAATGGCTGCCCTGCTGTGTGATTTACTGGTGCTTCATGACCGTTTAAGGTGTCGAGCCATTTTTCCTGCAGAATGTGATTTGCTAATATTTCACTGTGTTCATTGAATAACAATTGTAGCTTAGTTCAAACACTGCGTAAAGAGAAACTGGTTCTGTTCCAAATTGCACAGTTCAACAATGTTGTTGTTGGTGTCACAGTTACAATTACGATGCCTCACTTTGTGAAGGCCAGAAAAACAGAAGGGCTCCATTGCAAATTGGACTTTAAAAATTCTGCCTGAAAACTAAGGCTGGCTAGTAATGGTATTTGGTCAGGAACCAGTCTAATGGAAAATATAATTTGAGAACAGGCTACAGTTTTAATGACTGTTTCTATGTGATTAGCTGGTACATCATGTATGTTTTACTGCGTCAGATCATTACTTGACAAGAATATGATATTCTAAAGTCCTATTTCAGGGTGTCAAATGATGAGCTGCATTCACACAATTCCTGTGTTGGACTGGCTTATGACCGAAACTTATCAACTTCTAATGGCTTGTTATTCAGGCCTGTAGCCCGCAGTCCAGTATGGGCAATGTCTTTTTTTTTCCGATAAAGTAAACCTTTTCACCCATTTCACACAGTCATGTAGTTGCAATCACTGCTTTATTTGCACAATGTCATCAGATGATGCTTTAGTTCCATAACAGGGTATCAAATCATCGCTTTCACATCATTTTGATTTCCTATAATGCCTCAGTTGTCTAATTTCAGGGTGTCAGATCATTGCGCCCTCCGACATGATGGACGGGAGAGTGGGCGCAATTAAGATCAACCTCACCAACCATGGCCTAGGAAGCAAGGTGTCCGTGATGAGTTACAGTGCCAAGTTTGCCTCAGGATTTTATGGACCATTTAGGTGAGTTGATCATCAAGGGTAACATTGCCAGCATGTTTGAAGTCTATTGAAAAACTTTAAAACTTGAAGATGATGCTTACCGAAGTGGTAGTGTACAGCCACTGTTCATGTGTGTCCATGACTTCGTGCATTTGCGACCACTTTTCTTGGTGGCTGATTATACCAGCCCTTGACAAATAGACATGGCTAAAGATTTCACGAGTACTGATTGGATTTCTCTAGTCGCTGCCTTCCTGCTTGCCCTTATCATGTCAAATTCGACATTTAGCTTGGTACCACCGGCTTCAAGTGCCTGTCCACAAGCAGTCCTCCATTTGCTTCAGTCGTCAAATGTTTCATTTAAATATTCGAGGGGTGATGGCATAATATGCTGCTTAATAGTTTTGACTTATTTGTTAAAACAGACGTGATGCTACATGTACATTTGTCATGATTGCACATGTATTTCTTAATTGCAATATCATCAAAATGTATATTAATAACTAGACCATACATTAAAGAGCACTATAGAATAATTTTGATGTTATGGCCAATCCACAGGGAGGTGAGAATGTTTATATAAGGTCCAGACTGAATCAGGGCCAAAAAATATGCCAGGCATATCGTCATCTATTGTAAACGGCACTACATCATACATGTAGCAGAGTGAAGACTTAACTTTTTAAAAATAGTTTCCATCAGAAGTTTTTTTTTTTTCATATTTTTGAACGTATTTTTTATCTTCTTTATGGTGTGTGTGTGTGTGTGTGTGTGTGTGTGTGTGTGTGTGTGTGTGTGTGTGTATTTGTGTGTGTGTGTGTGCTATCAATTTGATCCACAGAAATCATAGAAATGTCAGTCATGGGCCGGGGGAGTAGAATGTAGCTCTTAGACAGACAGCTGGCTTATGTCTGGTGGTATTGTTTTGTGTAAATTAGTCAATAATTACCCGTCACATTAGGTGTTTCTGCCTAATGGAAATGTCTCATATGATACTGTTATCAGACAGCACAGAGAAAGTAAGCCATTAAGCTTGTGTCACCAATGTGTTCATTTTCTCCTGAATGTGATGGGGTTTGTGACAGCAGCTGATTTTATTGGGGAAATCGAATTACAGAGTAGAAGCAGTTCTATGTTTTTCTCACTTGAAGAATTGTTTCAGAGCTATTGATATGTAGGTGTCTCTGGCTATGGCTTATGGAAAATCATCTCCTCCCCCTCCCATGGACCCTTGCCCCTCTCTCTTTCACTCCCCTCTCTCATTCTCTCTCTCTCTCTCACACACACACACACACACACACACACACACACACACACAGTTCATTCTTTCATGCATCACATGTGAGACAACAATCTCCATCCTCAAGAAGTCAAATTTTTATTTACAATTCTGTATCATGATTTTTGTGTATTTTTAAGCTGATGCTTTCAGGGTGAAATAGATTAAGGTTGTCAATTTGCATGATGATTATGTACCCAAGGCGAAGGCAGACATTCATTCATGGAATGACAGTATTAAAAAATGACTGAAGGAGAGTATTGATCAAAAAATATTCTGTGTCGGAATTTAGGGTAAATTTGAGGTTAGTCATAGTCTTTAAGTATTTATGAATAAAACGTGACATGCTTTATTATTTTATTACTGGTAGATATATGTGGATTCTGATACATAAATTGAATTAAATCCGTGTTTTGATTGAAATTTATTGATGGATCTAGCAATAACTGAAAATGTATGTTGTTTGATGAAACATGTTATAAGATTGTTAGATGCTTGTGAAAGCATTTGAATGGGATTTGCCATCAGAATCCATTTTCACCACATTTTTGTTTCTGGGTTGCATTTGTTCTGGATGGCGTGATAAAAAAGATATGCACAATGTTTATATACCTTGTACCTGAGAAACAAAATTCTGTCAACCTATATAATTGAATTTTCTCATTAATTACATGTACAGTTTGAATATTATATATATAGTCTATTTAATTATTTCTCATAAATCTTTTATTGTTCTATCATATTTACATTGTTATCATTTGAAGTAATAACATTATTGTCAACCTGTCACCTTTCAGAGATGCAGCAAAATCAGCACCAAGTTTTGGTGACAGAAAATGTTACCAGTTGCCACCTGGCTCCAGGGGACTGGCACTCCGAGCTGTGGTAAGTAGTTCTGATTTGGACCCTTTTGGGCATTCTAATATGAATCCAGGGGTGGATCCAGAGATATTTTCTGACAGTCTTCCAAATTACCTTTTTTGATCCATCCTCCATTTTTGACAGTCCTTCAGAAAAAAATTAGATACCTCTCGATTGAAACTTGAAAATTTTGCTGTCCACCCCTGGAATCATAAGAAATAGACCAAATTCTCCCCAATTCCTAATTAGCATAAAACAAGATATATACATTATATGACTTTGGAGGAGAATGAGGTCAGAAATAATGATGAATGTTGTGTGGCATTGGATAAATGCTAGCTGACAGAACTGATCCACAGATTTTCTGGTTGTTATCTCTGAAATAATGTTGAATAATTTCTTTTTTTGCACAATAGTCGTCATGTTTTGCATGTCACTTTTGAATTGATTTTTTAAGATGACATTTTCCCTTGCTCACAGAGCCTCAGCCTTATTGCTAAAAAGTTTACCCTCCCTCACATGGGTTCTTGGGCATTTTCTAGCTTTGTTTTACAATATGCAGTGCCAACAGCCACATTTATGGCTTGGGTTATCCCAATTTATGGACAAAGGTAACGGTGAACAATACTCTGAATTTTCAAAAATGGTTTTACTAAAGAACCTTATTGTTTGTTAAGTCTGAATGTTTTTTTTTTTTTTTTTTTTTTTTTTTTTTTTTTTTTTTTTTTTTTTTTTTTTTTTTTTTTTTTTTTGTTTTCAAAACTGCTTTCGTAGTAAAATATATAAAATATTGATTCAGAAGTTGTGAAAAGAGAGTTGGCTTCATGCCTAAAATGTGTTTTTGTAAGTTACTGATAATGGTTAATCTTTAGAAAGTAAAATTCTGGAATCAGTGAGGAGTTGGAAATTTTCTAATATTTCTGTAACTTAGTAGTGAGCAGCATTAGTCATCTGCAGGGAAAGATTGGCCATGAGATTTGTCATTGCACCAAGATGAAGTACACCTATATAGCATTTTTTCAAAATTATGATTCTAGTTCAATTGTACCAATGGAAATAATAGCAGTTGTATTAGATTTTTTTCTCGTTATCTTTCAGTTTTATCTTCAAACGTGTTCATTTTTATTCAGGACAAAATTCAGGTACAAGTGTCCAGTGGGAGAGGGGGGATATTGCTTTTGAAGCAGACAGACTTAGCATGACCTTTGAAGCTCATCATAAGGATAATACTAACATTTATTCTACAAAGACTCTGGATGAGTGACATTTAAGCCATGTTTGACTGTTATTCTACAGTTTTGTTCTAGTGGTCAGGAGTCAACTTATAATATGAAGTGTATGCCCTATCAATTTGTAGACATGTAAAATTATTCTATATACTGAGAAATTGTGTAATTGTTGAAGGTGGATGTGCTTAAATGTCATAATTAAGTCTCTTGCTGATAGATATTCACAAGAAGGTTATTGCTCTGACCTCAGATTCGTTGCCAGTGAGGGAACAGCCAAGAAAGATGACATTTGCTTGATTTATGGTATATGAAATTAGATATTAACTTGATTAATTAGTCAGTAGGAAATATCAAAATTACAAATGCATGAATGAGTACATATATTTCTGTTTACTGTATTCTTACATAAAAAAATGTTATGATGACACATGAAAGATAGAATGTATTTGACTGTTGCAGGAGAGAGACATAAAGGAAGGTGCAGACATGTTAATGGTGAAGCCAGGCATGGCATATCTGGACATCGTCAGGCAGGTCAAAGACAAGGTAGGGTGTCCGCTTATGTCTTTCTTTCCACATAATGGAAAATATAAACTCATCTCAGATTCCCATTTTTCCATGTTAATCAAGAATTTAATTGATGAATTTAAAACACTAGGAAGAAATTTACTGTTACGGTAGTGTTTTAGTCACTAGCCCCATTCACACCTACATGGTTAATCGAGATTAAGGGAATTGCGATTCTAACGCGCTTAGCTAAATTCACTTTTTTGCGTTCGCACATGTAAAAACGAAATCACGAAACGCGAACGAAAACGAAATCAAATGGCTTCTTTGAAACATATTTTCTCATGTTGTTTTCAATTTGCAGTTTACTGGGATTAAAAAAATATGATGCAGCTTGATATATATTGGCAGTATAGCTTTATCTTACAAGCAATATTAATCAACCATGATGCAGGGGTAGTCTATAGAGATAACCTGCTGTACCACATTATTATATCACATAGAAATTAGTGCATGTTTTTAATTATTTAGACACAAAACAAGTTTGAGCGTGCATTTTTATATATTTGCATCCTTAGATTCAGTTATTGCTGTGTGTATAATTACAGTATCCAAACCATCCACTGGCAATCTACCAGGTGTCTGGGGAATATGCAATGCTGTATTGGGGCGGTCAGCACGGGTCATTTGACCTAAAGACTGTACTGATGGAGACCCTTGTGGGAATGAGGAGAGCTGGTAAGAATTGTATATAATTATCTGTTGCAGAATTTAGGAGCTGTTAATATTTTTATTGTTTATACAGAACATTTTATTATTATTATTGATTCATTTTTCATTAAAAAATTATTTTTTACTATGAGCACCAGATTTTATTAAGATAAAAAGATAACTGGCAAAAAATAACTGCTTTTTGACAGCATTGCAATTATTTATGAAGTTTTACACTACTTTATGTCGAAACAGTTTTCTTTAATCTGAAGTCATATCTCTTCTATTCCTTCTGTAAATTTAAAAACAGCAGTATTTCACTTATTTGAACAATCTCATTTCTACAGCTTTAAAATATGAGAGGTTTAACATGTTCTTTATAACCTTCAGCATTTTCAGGTATTTTTGGAATATTTTGTCTTTAACTCTTATTTGTTTCATAATGAGAATTAAAAAAGATTTCATAGTTCATTACATGTGGTTAATTATAATTTTTTTATTTATCATTTATTTGTTTAAAATTTTCAGGTGCTGATATCATTATTACATACTTCACGCCATTGTTATTAGACTGGTTGAGCCAGAAGGACGAATAGCGGTGCCTGTTCTCTGAGCGCATTTCACATTCTATATTATTTGACACAACTTACACATTTTGCTGCTGAGCCAGAGCACAGGCACAACTTACCATTGCAGAAGTTGCGATTGTGCTGAGAGAAATGCCAGGCACATCTAACGCAATGACTGTGACTGCAGACGGTTTGACAACATTGCACCAAAGACGATCTGCATGACGTCTTATTCAGATGTAATAAGAAGAGATTGGAACCACTTACCTTATGCATTTAATTATCATTAATGGATATATAAGCAAGATCTAAATTGTCAGCTATGAGCTAATACTTCTGCATAAAGAGTAAATTGCAGTGTTTCCTGGTGTAGGGCGACTCGATTGTACTATGACCAGACCGTTTTACTTTAAGATAGAAACTGCTTTGAGGGAAGAAAAGTAAACTTCAGGATGTTAACTTTGCTTTGCTCAGCAGGGTTCAATAATTTAAGCACAGATGGAGCACGGGTGAAGAAATTTAGAAGCACAGCTGTGCAAAAACGGCCATGGGAAAATATCTCATAAATTTAAAAGTCGATTTTCTTTCAATCATTTTTGTGCTAAATTGATCAATTATCACCATAACTCCCAATAACAACCAAAGAGTGTAGACAACAAGCCATGAAATGACTAAACTACTAACTAGTTTTTTCTCCTGATCTTCTGGACACACTGATACGGAGTGAGACTTTACACAGGAGCCACTGTTGATCGAGTTTATTTTTAACTACGGCCCAGTATACTGAGTCGTAGTTTTTAATAATTTGACACATTTTTTTGACCTGATTACAAAGTTTGCAAAGTAAAAAGACGAATAAAAAAGTTTGTCAACAGTGTAGTTTGACAATCGAAAAGAAAATCATGATAGGGTAATCTTATAGACGAGGTATTTGATATGTATAATCAGTAAAATGATAATTTAATATATTGAATAAAATGGATTTTAAAACTAGATTCTTAGTTCAGTTTTATTTGAGTGTATGAATGTATATTCGAACTATTGAGAAAATTGCGCCTTGCGTGAAGTACGAAAACAAGGACTGTGGATGGCCTACCCTCTAATATCAGAGGCTTCTAAAATAGCATACAAAATTTAAGCATGCGATAACATAATTCTGTGACAGCCTACTAGCGCAGCCTGTTGTCAGGGAGTAATCGTCACCCGGTATAAACAACCTTTCCTTAGCTCTCCGGAATACGTGCCCCCACCCACGCCGATTAAGAGAGAGGGGAGGGACAAACGTGGGCAAAAGCACATGACTTCAGGATAAATCTTTTTTAGGAGAATAGATCTTATAAAAGATCGATGTATACTCAGTGGGACAGGGGATGGGACGCAAATGGTTATACATGGTATATCCATGTGCATCAAACTCGGAACATGCTTTATTATATAAATAACAGTTGGTGTTTTCATTTTTATTTCCATAAAACAGCCATATCTAGAAAGCGAAAAAGGTTTTTCTTTGTGAAGATAACAACTAGAACTACTTTTTGTCCTTTTGCAGTTGGTCTGGTAAATTGATCTTCTCCGTAGCCATATAACGGTAAGTTGTCTGTATATGTTTATGTCAACGAAACGTTTCACCCCCCCCCCCCCCCTTCCCGGCCGTCCCCATATTCTGCTGTTTGCATATGTATTAAAATGGGAGAAAAGCGACGATTATTACTTCACGTTACCTTTTCCAAATTATCGCTTACTGATAAAAATATTAGAATTTCCTCTCGGTTTAAGACTATTGAATGCACAAATAAGTAAGTCTGGCTCTAGACGCAAATTTATTCTGATTTCTTTCTGGGACAGGAAGCAAAGGAAACTGAAGTTTATTTCCTTATTGCTGTTCTGAAAAGGTATCACGTCGTCCTCGATGATCTTCATGGCCTTTCGTTCAATAGGTTGAAATGCCTTTAAATTCGCTGACGACGGCCTGGCTACGCAATGTTTTTAACGCAAGTCCTATCTCTTAAACTTATGTCACAAGTTCAAAATTATAAAGTAATGGGGATTTTTGTCAAACATATATTTCAGTGGTGTAAAATATAACGAACAGACGTACAACAAAAATGACAAAATTTGTCATTTACTGTTACTTTGGTGCTTTGTTTTCGATTTGTAAGCAACACTTCAATAATAAAAAAGTATATACACATGTATTTACACAGTGCCTATGCAGAGGATGCAGTGCCTATGCAGATGGTGTTAGGCCATAACCCAACAGCGTTATTATAACGTTACCACAATGTTTATTTTACCAAAAACGTTTTGGTGACGTTAAAATAACGTTCCGTGTTTTCTGGAAAAAGAATGTTTGTCAAGTTTCCGTGTAGTTGAACTCGTTATGGACGACGCTCGACAGCACGAAAGTATTTACTCCTTAAAGGTACGCTGTCCACCATTAAAAACGGAACATCGTTAACAACAACGAATACGATAGATTTATGGGCAGAAATGAACTTCTCTTATAAAGCAATAAACGGGGAACATGTCCCCCATAACCTTTAAATGAATAAAACATTTTTTTTATTGATTAAAAGATGAAGGCCTTTCCTCACGAATGCCTCGATACCTTGGTACATGTACTGTAACAAATTACAAGATAGACGGCAAATCTTTTTAAACAATCTGAACAAGAAACTTTTTTAAAGATTTAAAACCACTCACTTAATCGATTATTAAAATTCTAGTATTCGCTGCATGATTTCTAATCTATACTTTAAAATGTTAGAGAATGTTACTCAACAAACCTTTATTACGTATCAACACAAAGCACAGATAAATCAGCGGTACTCAAACGTCACGGGGTCGCTTGCTAATGTAAACCGCAAAAGTATAAACAAAAAGTGAATGGACTTTAAGGGCATCATACATAATGCATCGAGTACACGTATTCAAAATTATGAGTGTTTTTTAAACCCAACCCAGAGGTAGATAGTATAAATACTGTAAACTGGTTACCGAAAAAGTAATCCAACGTATTTGGTACGGAGGCCGGCGTGATAAGACTGCTCTTGACAGAAAAATTGAGAGACGACCCCGTTTCTGTTCTTCTCAGAGATGATTAAGGTAAGATAGGTATATTATTTAAAGAAACGGTTATGTATGCCCAAGACCTAATAGAGCCTGCGGCTGGAATGGCCTCGATTTGCAAAATGCTAAAAGATTAAGTCGAAATCTACGACGCTGTACACCTGCAGGGCTTTATGTCAGTCCAACGAATACTTACACCCCGTTCCCAGAGATTAGATCGATCCAAACTAGATCGACCTAACTCCCTGGGGGTTTACGCTAAATAGCTGCCAGCCGAGCGGGCACGAAAGTTAATTACCCCCTTACAGCTTGTAGTAGGCGGGACGGACGTTTAAGCCGGATTATCTGACAGTAATCTAGTGAGACTCCCCACGGGGATAGATCGATCTAAAATCTATGGGAATACGCCCTTAGAATAGCATGAATAACCAACCACTGATGAATTTAATTTTAATTTAGGTTTTCTCGTTGCTTTTGGTGGTAGCTGCGTGCTGCTGGCGGACTGTGAATGCAGAATACAGTGTTAATGTTACGTCAGAGAATGGCAGAACTATATTCGACGTCACGCTGGAAGACGGCACCTCATTTGTCGTTGGTTACGATGTAAATATGGGACCTGAATATCCCTTGTACGTAGTCTATGCATATATTTTCTTCCTTTCTTTTTTTTTTTTTTTTTTTTTTTTGTAAAGAACACTTAAAGACCAACACAATAAAAGAGATGAGAAGTATGAAATAAATGTAAGCATAAAATAAATAAAAGAATGTTACGAATTGAAGAAACAAGTAAGCAACCAAAAAAACAAAATCACCAACACAAACCAAAGAAAGAAAAGACAAAAGGTGAATGGCAATTAAGTAAGATAGAGGGTGCACTTTGATCACTATATATCGTTATCTCTTTATTAACATCAATAAAAACAAATTGCTTATTGTATTTAGATCAATGTCGTTTTGTTTTCTATCATATTTCATACACTCTCCAGTTTAGAGGATTGGGATCCCAGTCTTTCGTGTCTGGGCATTCATGTGCAAAACGTTAACGGCAGTGATCTTGGATATCCGAACGAAACTAGTCCGACAAGGAAAAAAAGGCATGTATACATATATACATCCTGTTACATAAATGAATATAGTGTGAAACCCTTTTCAATAAGACTCTCTCTCTCTCTCTCTCTCTCTCTCTCTCTCTCTCTCTCTCTCTCTCTCTCTCTCTCTCTCTCTCTCTCTCTCTCTCTCTCTCTGACCTCAGATACGATATCGCAATTCCATAGTTTTGGATATAGGGACCTCGATAGTAGAAGATAGAAGTGTTCACATATCACAATAATTAATTTATAATTTTATCAAGGTCTATATAGTTTTTTTTACACATTCTATACATTTTCGCCTTTTTTTAAACAACATTTCAGAAATGAACAACACAAACGTTTCTCTACAATAATACGTCCACTCGCGCGCAAGCATACCGGTATTAGTATAGCTCTTTTAAGGTACTCACTCTATTGGTTATATAACTTTAAGGCTCCGACAAACGACAGAAACGTAATTTTTCATGCAATCCATGGACACGTGTAATTTGAACTTTTTTCAGGGCGATACCCTCAAACCTGTGCGACGTGTCGACAAGGTGGATATACCCGTATTGGATCTATTGGAACACTGGCTTTGGTGCCATCTGGTGGCCGGTTATTCAGTTACCTCAGTTCCCTGTTCCCTGGTCCCAGTTCCTTCTGTGGAGCTACTGCGATCAAACGTACATGTAGGCCTACATAAACTATAAAATCGCATTATCTGATGCTACGCCAGATTGGGAAATTTTCCGCCTATTAGACAAGTGATACATTTTGCAAAACAAGAAGCTGTTACATCATTTTTATTTTTATTTTTTTGCTCCATTATTCAACTTACATTATAGTTTACTGTACAAATTATATCCCATATTAGCACCATGTATTGATTTAAAATGCCAGTATCCACTTCTGGGGTATTAGGACCTTTTATCAAAGAATCAAACAACCATGGTCTTTGGTATTTCTACCGATGGAAATCAATGGAAATGATTATTCATTATGATAAATATCGTATCTCTGTATGTACCCGTTTGAAGGCGCGTTCAGATATCTTATATACCGGGTACACACATAAAAGAGACATGTATTTCTAAAATATGACTAAATTATATGGTGTCTTCTTTTCCGTTCTAGGCAACATTGCGAGAATTTCTACCCTCCTAATGTTAAACTGTGCTCCAAGTGTAGAACTCAGTGGGGATGGACTCGTATCCTCGTGTGGCACTCCTACCCGTACATCTGGCACGCTGTCAGAATCTGGATCCGTGTCCCTGTTGGCTGCTGCTGCGACCTACGGAACGCCTGGCTCTGTTAAGACTTGGAGACCTTCGCAAAAATTTTCTAGCTGAGCAGTACAGAATGTATACAGAATAGGGCCTAAGCCAGACAAAAATATGTGGACACAAACGAAGCATCAATTTTTAGTCCTGTTATACATGTAGGATATGAATGACTTTTATCTAGAGTATTGGTCATTTCTCATATTTGATAAAGCAGGTGTCCTAATAAACTACTATTAGTTGGTCCTACTATTCATTTACTCTCGGGCAGAGAAAAAAGTTTTCCGTTTAAAAAGTTAAGACCAGCTTTTGTCTTAATTTATTTTATGCAGAGGGTCCTAAAGATTCAGACCATTGTACCTCTCAGTCATACTTTAGAACTACGTTTGGTGGATCCCAGTTTCAAATGTGCGAACACGACTCGTAGAGAATTCCAGGACAAACCCCCTTCCCCTCCCCCCGGACCCCCCCCCCCCCCCCCCTGGACATTTCCAGGAAAGAAAATAAACTGCTTTTGAATTATCTATTTGAGGTATTTATTTAATCTTGAATTTTACACTGAATATAAGAAAGAAAACAAAATGAAATAAAAACAAAAGTATTGGCTATCAATTACAAGATTCAGGAAGCTCCCCTAAATGCGCTTTTAACAGACCTATGAGATAACATTAAATTATTACATGCTATAGATGCAAATTTTGCCCATTTGCATTACATGTCAGTTTTTAAATCAAACAAATGCTACGATTTTTCAATTTTTCTAAAAGTGAACAAATGGCACTTTATCTGCATTTCCACGTTCATAACTCAACTAAAAAAAATAACGTACGCCTACACTTTAGTTTATCCCCTTTAAGGGTTGGTAAACATGGAATAAAGTTTTTCTCCTTTTACATCAGTACACGTGTGATATGGACAGAAAAAAAGAAAAAAAAAACGACTACTTGCACAAAGTCAACGCGTACGATTTTTGTAAAAGCAAGACACGGTACAAGCACTTCTTTTTATTAGCGCCACCTATCGCATAACCTGAACATCATCATGTCTGCCAGCGGAGGGGAGCTCTCTTCCGCGATGCCCGAAAACATCGATGATTCAAGCGCCAGAAGCGTTCTAGCAGAAGGTTTGTTGGAGCTATTCAAACCCTGTGTTGAAGAGATTGATGACAAAGTATCAGCGGTCAGGTACGTGTTCGGAGATGCTTAAATATGTGTTGCAATTATCATTCCACTGGCCACTAGCTGTCTGGAAAAATTATCACAAAATAATAATAATAATAATAACTCGAAAAAATGACCGCAGACTCAGGTGCCTCTCATTCTTATCTTTTCTGCCACTATATAATGTGATATTTATTTGCTTAATGCTATATCTGAGCCACAAAGACGGGTTATGATTCGGTAATAATTTATAGGTTTGATCTAGTATTTTAATTTTATATTTAATTTTTTTTTTCGATATTAAGGCAGAGTCAAGTTGACTTGCGACAGCAGATAGATTCCTTGGCTGAAGGTAAGTAGCATTTTAATATTTTGTAATCATCACACACATACCTGTCAACATTGAAAATTACCAGAGAGGGAGATTTGATAAATGTGACTAAATGGAAACTGCATGCTGGTATTTATACAAAGAATGAAAAACTGTAAGAGAAAGCACAAAAGAGAATAATAATAATAATAATAATAATAATAATAATAATAATAGAAATTCACAAAGCCTCTCACAGTTTGGTATCTACATGTATTTCATTTAAATTCCTTATTTGCTATGTAGACCTAAGGAAAGTATCTGATGCCCAGCAAGTACCAGTAGAGTTGGAACCCTATGTGAAGAAACTGAATAATGCCAGGCGGCGGGTGATGTTGGTCAATAACATTATACAGAATGCTCAGGTAAGTTGTGTGGTCTGTGGATCCAGGATTTTCCTGTAGGGGTGGCATTTGGAACTAAAGATAAAAAATGTTGGAATGTTGATTGAAGTGGAAAAAATTTAAAATGATGCTTATACACACACAATTTGATGTCTGGTACAGGTAGATGTATTAAAATAAGATTAATTTGCCATTATGATTGTGTGTGTGAAATGTAAATGTTACATTATAAATCTTCATTCTTGCATTGTCTGCACTCATCAATCTCCACCTACTGGATGGTGCGATTTGCAGGCTTGTCAGGGAATGTGAAGGCATGATTTCAGTATTATCTGCAGTTAATTTTAGTTTAATATTTTTTCTTTTCAGGAAAGACTAGGCAAGTTACAGCAAAATATCTCCAAGGAAACCTCAAGGAGGAAGACTTTACTTCAGGAATCTCCTACAGGCTCTTTGTCAAAATGAAATGACTGGGAAAGAATAAAATCATGACAAGCACAAAAAAGGGTCTTAGTAGGGATTTTCACTTGTGGATCCAGAATCTTGTTAAGGTTAGAGCCCAGGGTTAAAAACCGTCTCACAACACTCAGAAAATATGGTATGTGGAGCTGCAAAGATAGACAGATTATGCCTGCGATTGTCAGCTCTCTAAAACTTCAAGTTTTAAAAATGCAGAGAGACACTTCCTGTAGAGTGGTAATATTCTATGATCTGCGAACAGTCCGTGCATTTACTTTCAAAAGAGCATTATGGAGCATTACAAAATGGTAAGGGATTTTCAATGGACTTCTTGATTTGACATTTGCATATATTTTATTGTGCAGTGGTGCTTATTGACAGCCAAAATATCACCAAAAGTTGGTTTTACAAAACAGCTGTAGTCCTAAAATTGGTCTGAACTTTAAGACCAAAAATTTAGTCTATTTAGAATCACTTCAACATGAATCTATTAAATTCACTTAAATAAAGTTTTAGTCTGAAACATTAGCCATGCCTTTCCTGTTTTAACACAGGTACAGTTTTATTTCATTGACTACTACTGATTTATCTCAAGTCAAAGAAGATGAAAATCTTGGGTCTAAAAGTTAAGACGAATTTTATGGCTATAGCTTTAGTGGAACTGCTCCCTTCTGTAATGTTTATGGGCTTCTCCTCATGTGACAATCTTATTAGATGAATGGATATACTGAGGAGGTTGTTGTCACTTTTTGTGGCATTACTGCATTTGTCAAATATCATCATAATGCTAGTCATCACTTTTTTGGACATTGAGTTTTCATTTCTGTTTATACTTAGGTTTTGTTTTCGTTATGGAAGAATAATTATATGCACAGCAGTTGTATAGAGGGAAGCATATTTATTGTTGAAATTTCGGATATAGTAACAAGAAACAAGTCTCCCCTTTATTGAGACAATTTTTTTTCATTTCCCTTCAGAAAAAGTGGTTAGGGGGTATAATTAATAAAATAAGGTATATTTTGTAGTTTTCATTTAAATATTTTGCAAAATGCTCAGATGTGTTCAAATATTATTTATTTGTCACGCTGAAAAGGTAATTTTGCTTGTATTCATCTTTTTTTATCACTCTTATACTGGGGTGCTTAGAAAAATAATATACCATTGATTTTTCATAAGAAAACTTTTTCAGGAAAATTGCATAGGAATTTTTCAAACTCACAGATGTATACAATAATTTCACTTAAGTGCAACTCTTTAAAGTTGTTAATTTAATGTTATTTTGTGGACTCTTAGACTTCAGCAGTGAGGTAATAAATTATGCTAGATACTTATATTTAATGAATTTGTCAAATTTGTAAATATAATAGAGTGAAGCTCTGAAACTTTCTCTTGTAAATAAATGATATTCTGATATAATAACTTAATATTGATTTTTGTGCATTACTTTTTAAATTTTTTTTTCAAAAATCGGTCATATGCCAGTATGAAAGCTTTGCCTGTCTAGTCGTGGCTCTTTATCATCAGTGGTAGATGCTCAACTTAAATATGATCGTATAACATTGTATTAAAATATGGTGTTATTACTAATCAATCAGACGTTCTACTGCATTCAATTCATTTAAATCCATCATACTGGTTCACTGACCATTAAACTAAATGAACAAAAACAACCCCTGTAACTTCAGTATGTGATTTTCTTTATTGTATTCTATTCAACTTACTTTTGAATAATTTTGGACAATTATAAAAACTGTATATTGTACTTCATAGGGAAGCATTCTGATCATCTAAAACAAGTGGTGCTAAAAGTATTTTCAGCTACTTTGTTTAAAATATATAGATTCAGATATATAATACATAATCTTATTTTGTATTAGCATTAAGTTGAAATGGTCAGTTGGATCAAAAGTACAGTAAACTACATTAAACCAGAATCTTGTGACTTCTAAATCAGTATCATTGAGACTCAATTTAAAAACTATCTCACCTATTTTACAGTATTGCTTTTTAAGAAAAGCAGTCACTTTTGAAAAGTCAATAAGTCCTTACCATTCAATCTACATTTAACTGCAACTAGAACGGTGGGTTTTTTGCACAGGTATCTTTTGAAGTAAATTCATAAATTGGATCACCTATTTTACAGCACTGCTTTTTAACAAAAATATGAACTTTTTTATAAGAGCCAGCAGTTCTTATCAATCTGCCTGTTGTTCCGATGCAAGCTGGGGTTATCTGACCCATTTGATCAAAATTGCTTCTGTACATTTTTAACTTTTTTACACATTGCGTGATACACTTTACTATCTTGTTTCATTCTGAGAGATGGGCAACTTGATGACCTGGTTATTACATAATTTTGGATCTGGATTAATCTTGATTAGTCCAAACAGTTGGAAGCAATCTTGTCAAAGGGCCTGGAGTAAAAAAAAAAACCCTTAGCATAATTACATGTTAGGAGCAGTCAAAATGGTGTAAAACAGAAAAGTCTACCACAATATTCGCCATTGTCACTGTACATAATGGCTGTTGTTTTGACAACAACTGTTTTTTTTTTGTCAAAGTTAGACGACATCAGTTTTATCTGGTGACATTGGGGGTGTCTTGGTCACGTGCTTGGTTTTTCAGGTGTCTTAAATGGCATGAATTTCTCAAAAATACTTCCTCCTGGTAATTCCGAGCTGAAAGGATAAAAAGAAAAAAAATCATTATAACTAAGCTGCATTCAGCTTGCCTTTTCAGGCATGAGCTTTTTTTTCAAAACTGCAAAATTTTCATTTCAGTTCTTCAGGCGGCCCCAGATTCCCGGCCAGTATACATTACTGCCGAAATTAAATATTTAGAGATTTAAATTCAAACCCCAGGCTCATGTCTACCTTTTTAAAAATTAAACACAAATATGTGAGGCAAGATACAAGAAAATTCAACAAACTCCCAAACCCCATCAAATAAATTAATAAATTAAAAATTTCCTCACTATTAAGTAAATTAATCTATTAATAAATATAAAGTGCATGTTTGCACGCATGTACATACCTTCCTGCTTCATTTTTTTCTTGTTTGAAAAAGAACAAAAGAAAAATGTGATTGTTAGACCTAATTCTCTGATAGGAGATTGAGGTCAGAAATGAAGACAAACAAGCAAGTGCAGTGCAGCAACATGTAAAGATAACAAAATTTATCCACAGATATTTTTTTACTGTAGTTTTCTATTTTTCTGTAGAATTAACCTGTGTACTTTTGTATTGCTTTGTAAGATGACATTCCAAGGCCACAGAGTTATATTTCTGTTGATTTAAAAAGCAGATATGAAGTAAAAAATTGCCCTTGCTTACCTTGAAGTTCTTTAACTAATTCATCCACAAATATATCTTGTAATGGGGTTTTGTTTTTAAGTTCCTGTATTTTTTCAATGTTTAACTGCTTTATGATTGCTTCTTTGATGGTGAGACCCACCCACTCTGCTTCTTCCTCCTAAAATTGAAAAAAAAAAACAACATTTTTTGAAAAATAAGTTTGAGGTTAATATCTTAATATTTTCCTTATATATATATATATATATATATATATATATATATATATATATATATATATATATATATATATATATATATATATATTGTTTAAACTTGTTTCAAGATAAATGTCCAAATTGATAAATTAATAAAGGGCAGAGGTGCCAGAACAAAGTATCTAATATAGTTGTAAGGTTGAAATGATTTACAGACTATAAATTATAATGCATTAATTATTAGTCATGTCTTTAAAATCTAACCACCTAAAAATGAAATGTTACTTGAAGTGAGGAAAATGTTTTTTTTTTTAATTGCAAGAAGAGTTGAATAAATATATGTCACTGTCAGGTAGGTTATGCATATTTAAGGATATTTTCAAGGTCACCGTTTGTCTTGATTATAATGAACTCACAACTAAAAAGACCTTGATTATAATGAACTCACAACTAAAAAGACTGGCATAATATGAAAGTTAATTAGCACATTTAAGTAAATATACTTCCTTTTATATTGTCAGTAACCATGTCTTTTTCATGTATACAAATTCTTCCAGGCCTACAGAAACTACACATGAAGAATTCTGCATTTCGCTTGCATGAGCAAGATGTTGTTGAGAAGTTTGTAAACCATGCAAAAGTAATTATAACCCCGCGGGGGTTGTTGGGGGAAACTTGACTGACTCATTGTCAACTCTTATTTAGCAAGCAGCAAGGCACCCTTTTCTAAAGAGTCAGGAATTTTGTGGAGTTAGTGTGTTTTAGGCAGTATATACATACTCCCCCTTATTACACACTCAAGAATAACACAGCTTGAACTAAGTCAACAAATAGACTTTTCAATGACTTCAAAAGGTAGGCCTAATTTTGAGATCAAATTCACTCCAACAATACCTGCCTTACCTTTGATGGTGCACCTAAGTCTGTATAGCATTACTCAACTAGATAATTACTAGTCACTATAACGGGACCCTTCTAAGGGGGAAGACTTGGGTGTGAGATACAGGATCTATTGGAGATGACCAACCTGTTCGATCGTCTTGCAGAGAGAGACGACACAAGCGATTCACCTCTTGTGGTTATTATTCACTTCAGTGAAGGGAGACATTAGACGGGGAACAAAAGCCCGGTGGTGTTTTCAGAACGCCTCTGTACCACCAATGAAAACACAAGTACTGTTATTCTAAAAGGGGACTCATCAAATTAGCAGGGCTTCTTTCTACTTTTGCTTCACACATCAACGGCTGGAAGGGGGACTTGGCTGTTCAAATACTGGGTGGAAATATAACTTTTTATCATGATGGCTGGCTGTCCTACAACTGTGAAAATGGTAAGTGGAAAAAAGTATTACACACTCCAGCTAGAACACAATGTATGTACAGGTGTCAAGTTCTAGATTGCAGTAATAACCCAAGTTCAGATTTCACTTATCATATCTGTGGAATTCACATCCCATGTTTTTGCAGTGACATTACCAGTTCTATCAAATATAAAAGTTTCATAACTGATCCCCTATTTACTGTGAATCTTTCAGGACTGATTTCAAGGAAGGACTTTTGATTCCACTTCCTTATCAAATGGGCATCATACTTTTACCACCATAAAGATATAGTAAATGAAAAATATACAACTTATAAAAACAATAATGAGTTGAATGAGTCGTAAAAAAATCCCCATTTGGTTGTATACTTTGACATGAATACAGAAATGGAAATGTAGAATACTAAAATGATGTTTCTGTCTTTTTAAAATTTGTAAAATCCATTAACTTTCCAAACCTTCATTTACACACACACACGCAAGTGACAAGAGCAAGTGCAAAAAAAAAAAAAAAAAAAAAAAAAGAAAAAAAAAATCATATATAATAACCAAATTAATATTAGACGAATAAAAAGAAGAATAAACCCTGCAACTGGAAGAATCCTCCCCACCCCACTGACTAACAAGCTTGGACTGCTGAGTAGCAACGATAAGAGGGAAACCGGCTCTTCACTACAACACGTCATTGTATGGAGAGAGATTGGTGGGAGTCTGGGTGAGGGTGGCTCTTATGTCTACCCAGCACAAGCTAATATTTACCTTCTAAGAAGGAAACTATGTGGAACAACCTCTCAATTCACTAATGGAGAGGAACTTAAACACTCCTGTAAAGATTTTCTTGTGCTACAAGCATTTAAACTTGAATGGTTACAGAACGGGTGAACACGAGGCTTTTAAAGAAGTAAATAGAATGTGGGTGACTGAGAGATCACGTACTAGTGCTCCACCATGTTTTCTTTAAACTTGCTTTAACTTGATCATATACATATTTGATACTTATATTGTGTCATGCAATTCTCCTTTTTCCATTTTATTTATATATACAATAGGTATAAATGTGTTCTGTGGTTAACAGCTTAAAATAATGTATTACACACAAAAGTGTTGAATTGCACAATTAATGTAGCTATATTGTCTATCCTAGTTTTACAAAATGACTCAACCCTGCCTATCTCAACATCTATTTCTGATGTCATGTTCTGATAAAAATGGCGTCATTTTAAAATGGCCCCCTTTGTTAAAAAACATGTCACTGCATGAATAACACAGTTGATTATAAAGCATGGATGACAAGATATCTTTCAGGAAACTTTCCCCTGAGGTGAAATATTGTTCATGCATAACATTTTCTATACTTTCATTGAAAAAACATTGTTACCAAAACAGGTATGGAGTGAACATGTGTCACGACAAAGTTCAAATTGAAGCAAGATTCATTCATACTAACTTTTTACACTTTTGACAACTATTTCAAGTATAATTTTTAATATTCTATCAAGAGATTTGACAAAAAATAAGTTACTCTAGGAACATGAAAAAAAATTACTAGCTTGGCTTCTTTGTGAGAGCAGACAGCACACAGAAATGTCTTCAACATAGGCCCCATTCAGAATAAGGGGCTAAGGGGCCATTCATAATAGAAGATCCCAGTATCAACTGGTCCAAGGCTAAAATATGGTGGACCCTGCATGAAAGGAAGACGTTTAATCCTGAAATGGTCTCTCCGCCTCTCACATGCCTCCACCACGTCTGGTGGAATGGACCCGCGATTTAATCACTGTACCCCTGCAGGGACGATGCGTGGGAAGGCGTGTGAGAGAGCATTACAGGATTTAGCGTTCTTCCTTTCATGTAGGATCCACCATATTTGAGCCTTGGACCAGTTGATACTCAGATCTTCTATTCTGAATGGCCCCTAAGCAGTCCGAGGATCAAATATGGCAACCCACTACAAAGTTTGCCGTCTAATCCGCTAAAAGACACTGAATAGATATCCCGTGGGGAAGTGGGTCGGCCATATTTGACCCTCAGACTAGTTAGTCCCCTATTTCTGAATGGGGCCATAATTTCATGAGTTCCATGTAAAAATTTGGTGACAGAAAATTACGTACTGCAAAGTGAAAAAAATTAACTAACAGCAGTTAAAATTTTTAAATAATTTCATGTTATCATAATTGTCTTCATGCATACAATGTGTCACACATCGTGCATTTACTTTTATTTGTGACTATTAATACATGACAAATGGAAAGCAACACAAGTGAGACAATCAAAATTATCAGAACAATTTAACAGACAGACGTGTGCACAGATAACTAATTCATACACCATCTTTCTTATTCAACAAAAATAACAAAAATAAGCCTGTTGTCTGCTGAGTAAAATATAATACCATAAGATCTAAAAAAGCACTAGGAAAAAAAGGGGGGAGACTACTCAAAACAGCATTAGGTTAGCAAACAGACTAACTTCACCATCCCAAGTAACAAATCAGCACACATGCCTTCACCCTGCAGGAACCCAAGACCTGTTTTACTGTCAAGTCAAATCACTGACAAGTTATGATAAATCTCAGCATAGTAACTGACACAAAATACTCCAGCTTTTTATCAGAGGTAGAAAATTACATGGCTCGCGGGCGTTCTGCATAAATGATCCCTGCAGTAGCATAAAGGAGGAGGCTCCGTTGACTGCAGAGGCCTAGCTGATACACTCTATTTTATGTGGGTCGGTTCGAAAAAAAAAATCTTAAGCTCAAAAATTGGTCTAAACTTACAGACTAAAATTTCCGTCTACTACGACAGAAGATGAATCAGTAGTAGATGTATTCCTATAAAATGAAATACTGCACCCATTTCACAAGAAAGGCATGATGAACACCTCGTGTCAATATTTGCTTTATTTCTGGGAATTTCTGGGAATATATCTTGAGCCAAAGTAGACCAAATATCTGGTCCAAAATTTTTTAGGCATCAGTTCTTTGGGGTGAAACCCGCCTCTGGTGGCAGGCATGTTCAAATTGTAGGCTGTAATTACTGTGGTGTGGTCTATCTTTAGAGGCAGTGTACCATAGTGAACTGTACTACCTTAAGGGTATATATCTATGCACCATGATGTGTCATCTGTCAGATACAAAACACTGGAGTGACACAACAAAGTTGGAGGCTGAACAGGGATACACATATGGCTTAGGCACAACATGAGGTGGTGAAGCACACCTAGATGTTCAGGCACACAGGTGTAGCATTATTGTAGGAGGATATATACAACTCCTTTCCGTTCTTCAGCATGGGGGTGCTTTTAAGTCAGGTCACGAGGTAAGTTTCAAAATGAAGTTTTGAATGACTTGAATGGAATCTCCTTTTTTTTTATTACAGGTGTATTATCCTATATAGTGTTATATACTCGCATAAGTACCCTCAGTATTTGCTAAATTTCTTCATTTCTTTCTTTCTTTTTTATTGATTTTTTAAAAAATAACTTCTTAATCTCATGGGCCAGTAGTTTGCTGTTTGGAATGCAAGGCTTGAGTTTACTGGGAACTCCCTTAAAACAATAAAGAACCTGAATATGTCAGAAAGTGTCAGGCAACAATGTGGGACAGGGACATAACAAAAGAAGGCAATTTTCAAACAGAAACTTTGGTTTGACCTTCTTTTTCAATTTAGTACCACATTACCAGCATAAAGTTATTAAGTTTAGCATAAAGGCATCTGGAATGTATAATTTTTTTAAAAACCTAATAGAAGAAGCTGCTGACAGTTTGAAAATGTTATAGTCTGAACCAAATTTATTTGAGTTTGAAATCTGGTTTGTGATATCTTTTTATGTAAAACTTATGAATTCCATTACACAAAAAATAATATCAAAAAGATAATAAAACAAGTCTTCTTTTACCAGAAACTCCTCAATCTTTTTATAGAATTTCTGCCAATAGAGGGCATTTCTGCTGCCAACATGTCTTGAATCAGGCACATCGATCAGAGTATACAACTAATGGGGATATACAAATAGATACAGTGCTGTGCCCTGTGCAAGGAGAAGGGGTTCAAAAGCCCTGCCCTTTTGGCCAGAAAAGGTCCACAAAATTCTGATTCAAAAATTGATCTAGGTTCTGTGCCATTTCTAAAGCTGGGTCAACTAAAAAGGGTCCACTTTTTATGAAAAAGACATGTCCTCCTCTTTTGACACTATTTTCAATAGACCAGAGCCTATTACACATTTATTAAATATCTCACACAAAACATGAAGAAAACCTACTGTCACTTACTCATTGTCCCTATTTCTGTGCGATCATAATGGCACAATAAAAAGGCAGTGACAAGCCAATTAACTCTTCCATACACCTGAGCAACAATGGGCTTATAGACACAGGTCAAAGTAGAGATTTGCATTATTTTCTGTTATTGGTTTACAATCATGGACTTAAATATACTTGGGATAGGGATATATTCATACAATTATTTCCTTTTGCATTTTTCCTTTGAAATTTTCTTTAAAGGTGTAATATTTCAGATATTTTTAAAAATATTTACAATAAACCAGGATATGGGTCTGATTACAGAAAATTGATGAAGTCCAGTACTGTTTTAGCAATGCACACAAACAACAACTTACAGAAAATGGACCATTTACCATAGAAACCAACCAGGTAAAATGCCAAACTTATCAGACTAGCTGAAAAAAAGTCCCCAATCAAGGAAAGAAAATCTGAGTATAAATATACTTTTTAAAATTTTCTAAATTCAAAGCTTTCCATTTTCATTTTTGAAATATACCACCAAATTGATGTCATAACATGTCTAATCAGGAACTTTCATCCAATCTAATCAAACAAATGCTGAATTTTTCTCTCTCATTTTTCAGAAACAGATCGTAAAATTTTCTCCTTTTATCATGCCACTGACATATTGGGCCTTTGGCTAAACCTGTCAACCAAACAAATATTACAAAGATTACATGATATACATGTCTCTGGCCCTGTCATTTAAAGTAGGGAATAGCATTCAGGTATAGATAAAGTAAAAAACATGCTGTTAGAGGTGGAAATGATTACCCCTGACACCTGCCAACAAAATATGATAACATGTCTTGAGGACTATCTTGTCCATCTTTACTACACGTCTGATAAATTGTGTGGTTTTTTAAGAAAATTATTGTGTTCACAATTTTTATCACTGACATCAAGATAACCTGTGGCTTATTTTGTTTTATATATGTGATTATAAGGAGAAGAGGTCAAAGATGTATTCTTTGTCTTTTCACCAAATATATTTCATTTATTTTCAAATGTGTGTCACTTATGAAATCAAAACCTACTTAGGAGTATATATGCATCCTAATATACATACTTCATCTATATACATGACAGTGAATATTATTAAATACCTGAATAATATTTAATATATCTGATTCTGCATTGGGGGAAAGGAGGTATAAATCAGTTATAAAAAAGGTAAGGTGCACATACTTTTCATTCAACTCTATCTGCCACAAATATAGGAACACGATATTTTGAAACAAATTTCTTTTTCTAAATTCAAAAATAATATACTTATACATTAACATTTCCCCAATAATAATAATAATAATAATAATAATAATAATAATAATAATGCATCAGTAATGGGAATTTAATCTTTCCTATCCAAAAACCATATATAAGCAGACACAAACGAAAGTAAAAGCTGGGCCAGGTAAAGACATCTTAATCTCTTTGACCACATTTCTGTACTGTTAGTGGAAATTAGCATCCAAGCCACCTGTCGCTTCATTGTGTTAGCAGTGCACAATGATCTAACAGTCACCTGAACATTACATACACATCCACCTGGCCTATACTATCTTACTACAGGCCAGAACAATGCATAACTAATTATCAACATTCCCTATGCTTAATCCAGTCCCCATGTGGTGAGCTTACTGGCCCCTGAATGAGTATGGAAATGAAGATTACAGAAAGTCTTAGTGAATAGTGCCTGGGTCGTTTGAAAATCTCCACTGGGTTTGTGGTGTGTGAGCTGCGGTGCAGGGGAAAAAAGAGGGTGGCAAAGTTAAGGTATTAGCAGTTAAGGGTTAGGAAATTGATCCTGAGAGGTCACATAGGGAACACTGACGTGAATACAATGAAAAGAGATCGCTCACTCACAACCTCCGTCAGTCAAGGAAAAAAGAGGGAGAACACATATCTGCAGTGCATGAGAAACTGAAATTCAAAACGGAAATATTGGATTCCTTTGTGAGGATCTTCACAGTGCCCATCTGACACAGTATATGGATATAATTATGATATGCAACCGAGATGTGGGAGGATTCTGTTTTTTTTTAAATCTGCAAAAATGGATGATGATGTGAATATCCTCTCATAACAATAGGAAACAGAATTCTTTAGAAAAAAGTGAGGACAAGCAAGGAATCATTAAGCTCAGAATGAACATTTCCTCAGGTCAAATTCTACAATTATTTTATAACACAAAGCTCTTCTGAGGCATACTTAATCTCTTGAGGTATGGATTAACAAAGTAATTCAGAGGAACCATCAAGAAAATACAAGAGCATTAATATTTCATCCAAATTTATGATTGGCCAATTTAGATGCTCAGTTATGAAGGAAATTTCAATAATCTTTAATATTTAATGAAAACTCCTCAATCTGCATGCGAACAAAGTCCCTGATACAAGAACCTTGCCAAAAAATTCAATGCAACGGAAGATGATGTTCAAAGTAAGGAGGAAACACCGAATTATCAAGAGGTAAGAGGACGGCCTGATTCTAAAATGTCATAAAAAAAAAGAAAGAAAAAAAGAAAAAAAATACTTTTTTCTTTAAAATATCACAAAGAATATCAAAGAGAAAAGGGTTGTAGTTACAATTTGGAATACTAAACTAATGAGAAATGAAAATGAAAATGCCAAACTTTGTGTTACATATTTACTTCATTTATAGCCACACTGTAGAAAGCATCATCTTAAAATAGCTCATGGCAATTAATATAACTCAATGAGGGTAGGCCAGTGTCACCAGGCATAAGGTGCCAAGGTGACAGGTGAATGGGGGAATGGCCACTGCCACAATGTGCGTGTGTGTGTGTGTGTGTGTGTGTGTGAGAGAGAGAGAGAGAGATAGAGAGAGAACAAATACTATATGTCAAGTTCAAAGTCAAAGTTGGCAAGTACATGGTATGGTATATTTCTCAGTGCCAGCTGTCATTCCTCCTTGTCACCAGTCTGAGAGGAGCCCAGTCTGGCCCAGTGACAGGTGGTTTTGACATACAGGTATTAATACATATCTCCCCCTGCCAATATACGTGTGCTCACATCTAAATACCCACCTGTATCGGTTTTGGCCTAAAACATGTCAATAACTGCCCAAATAAACTGGACAACCTGAGCTCTCTGTTGACCACACTCTCTTTTAAATTGTTGGAGCACAGTTGGAATAAAGAGAACTTACTGACCAGTTAAGGTACTTGTGTAACTAATGGCTTAATCTGAACTTAAATTGTTCCTTGTCCAGATTTGTCTGAACACACCTTCACTTAAAGATGACACATGATTTGAATGGGTGGACATGTTCCATGTGTCCACAAACCAGCAGATGGCTTGTCAACCAGCCAGTGACCAATATAAATAAATCACAAATGAGGGGCAAGTTTTAAGAAAAGATGCTATATTTGGTAGAATATGACATGGACATGAAAAATTGTCAAGTCAAGACTGAGCAACTTGCATGTTGAAATGAAGAATTTTAAGTAGTACATAAAATTTATATTAATATGAAGATCATGGATTTAACCCCAAGTAAGTTTTCTTAAAACTTTCCGTTAATCCAAAGGAATCAAAGTAAACAAATCCTTATGGTCAAAAATGCGGGTCTGTCAAGATGTCTTCTAGTGCAAGTCACTTTACTTTTCGGTCTTAAGGAAAATTAGCCTCACTGGAAGAGTACATGCACAATTATCATGCCAAAACTGTCGAGTTATCCAATAATAATCCTTCTACATAGGATCAAGCCAAACTTAGTAGGACACACTTTCTTTTACGAAAATGCTGATTGACTCTAAACTGCTCTTTTATTGCCAAATACACAAACAAAATTATAAGCATTGTGGTGAACTTAAAACTTATTCTTAAATACCAATTCCATATCAAATGTTATATTCACAAAGAGCAGTTTTTCTGTTATTGAATATATGCATGTTGGCACATAAAAAAGAACAGTCTGCCCAGATATATTGCTTTCATTCTCACAACAACAACACCACAGCAACAACAACAACAACAATAATAATAATAACAGCAAGAAAAAGAATTTTTAAAATATATTAAAAACAGTATTCAACACCGTTAAAGCCCATGTATGTTTTTGCATTCAGCAACACCCCTCCCCCCCCAAAAAAAAATAATAAAAAAAAAAGCACACCTGGATTCATTTTTTACAGAACCTTTTTTCCATTATTTTTCTCTCAATGTCCCCGTATCTTGCCTCACCTGGTCTTTCCTGTGTCTCTATGCACACCAAGGTGTCACAGGGTAATACTTAAGGAGCAGTTACAAAGTAGAAAAAACGCCTTTGAAGTATGATCCATTTTTCTTTAATAAGAACCTGCTTAAGAATAGGATTCTATGGGTTCAAAAGTGAAACGCTTTGAGAGTAACAATTCATTGCTGGTGGGGTCTTTTGAATCAATTTGGTGTCAATCTTCATTATTACATTTTCATTTTGAGTTTGACAGAGTTCTGAGCCCACTGCCCTTATAGTGATGAATCAATTGTTGTTTTCTTTTGTAAGTGGACTAAAATAGATGTTTGACAATAAGAAATTCCTGATCACTTGTTGATCTTGTGAAAAAAATCAGACACAAATTTTACTTGCGTTTAAGCTTTAAAAAAAGTAATACCTGTCAAAAATCTGTGATCATTCCATTATATAGTACCTTTGTAAATAAAAATTTAAAAAGATTGTTACTGACAATTAATCATGAATTACAAATTATGTTAGCAATTTTGCTTACAAAAAAGGACATGTATGTCCTCACAAAGTCTATTGATTTATCTGTAGAATTACTTTACTAGTAGCAGAGCTATAATAGCTTTGTATGCTATAATCACTGGTGCACTTCATCAAGGACACTGGGTTATGGCGATTACTCTGAATTCCAAAATACCTTACTTATTTTGATATCTAACAGTTTCAAGATTTACCATTGTCAAGTTTTCAAGTTGTCACTCACAACAATGCACTTTCTGACATAAAACTTATATTTGAACTTTTGAACTAAAAAGTTTCACTAAAACAATGTGCACTGGTAAATTATTGATTCATTTATTCAGATTCATTGAATAATCACCATAGTCTGCATCCTAATTAGTGTGGTTAACAAGTTACATTACACAAAGTTATCTGGAATTATGGTCCTTTTCCTGTCGATCTCAGGAAACAATGGGTCTGCAGAGGAAGCTTTGGTTTACCTTGAAACACAATAACAGTTCAAACAATGCCTGGCCTTAGTTATTAGTGTGTGTGTGTGTGTGTTTGTGTGTGTGTGCGTGCGTGCGTGTGCGTGCGTGCGTGCGTGCGTGCGTGCGTGTGTGTGTGTGAGGGAAAGAGAGAGGGGGAGGGGAAGAAGGGACAACGGGATGGGGAGTTTGTGTATGCATGATGGCTATATGTGCATACATCGACATGCATGCATGTGTTTGTGAGGCAAGGATCCTTTCCTCTAAAGGTTTGTCTATAAGTACCTATACTCTAACTTACAGATGAGAGAGAGAGAGAGAGAGAGAGATGGAGGGGGTTGCAGAGTGGGTCAGTTTATGTTTGTGCATACATGCATGCAAAAACAGTTTTATGACTATAAATCAATACAATTTTTCATCCTAATCTGTATTTTTATATATATAAAATGCATTAAAAAATCAAAATATTTAAAGAAAAATTTAACTTGGGACAGTAGTAAGTTAATTTAAAAGAACAACTGAATATGAACCTCATGAAATCAGACCACCATGCTGCTAACTGCTCCAATTCTAAAGAAAGCTTGTTTTTATTTTGGAAAAACTGCCACAAACAATTCTCACATTCAGCAGCACGTAAACCATGTTTGGATTGACTCAGGACCCAAACTTACAACAAATGATGTAATTATACACAACTATAGTCAATCACGCACACGCAGAAAAATTCAATAACACACTCCACTGGGGTTCAGTTTCATCCCTTCCATCAGACCCACTAAATTCAACAGACGGACTGCTTGAGATTTAACTCATGCATAATTAAAAGTTTAACCTCTTTGGTTCAGCGTATTTTCTCTCTAAACAGGCGACAGTAGGGCACGGTTTCATTCAATGGCTTTCCCTACAGTTGCAATACCTGGTTTCTTCAAAGCACTTCCACTGTGTGATTTCTCTCCAGCTATTGTTCTTGTAATAAGGCAAGCTGTAAAGCAAGCGGTGTATCTAAACAGGACCCTTCATGTAGGGGCCACCCTCAGAAAAGACCCGGCATTATTCTGGATTAACACTGAACGAACAAATATTATGGGATTAGACTTGTGGTCTCTTTCTATTGGGCCATTTTATATAAACAGTTTGAGATTTACCTTCACTGCTGCAACAAGAAAGGTGGAGTGTTTGAAGTTGTGGCCATCTAAATTTGATTAGCATGTTGAACCAGGGAGATGTGTTTGGTAGTGCCATTATGGTACACGTGTTGTTTTTCGATGGCCGTACCATTTAGTTATAGGAACTGGCAAAAACTTAACGGTAAGTTCGAACGTTTGGTGTGTCTCTATCATACATATGTAAAAACTGAATCAGGACAAGATTTAATCACCATATGAGTCACCACTTCTCAGAATTTTCCAAATTTGATAGTAAGTATGAAGATATCATTATTAGATCAAATGATAAAGACCCCCAGTTCATCCTACCATGGCGTCCAAAAGTTAAAGACATATATTACATCCTCTTTGTTTAGTTGTAATAAGTACTCAAGTCTTAGTAATAAATAATATTAATGGAAATATTTTTAGCAAAATGTTTCTGTAATATGGGATGCTATACCACTACAACTTTAAGCACAATTTTAGCCTAGTTTCTCCACAGAAAAGCTAAATTTTATACTATCCATGGACAAGCTTGCACATATAACGGAAAGTGTTAACTGCGGAGAAAGTACAACAAAATCCTTTCAAACTGTGTATGCTGCTATTCATATCTCAAATTTCTATAGATAGCAGATTGTTGAGGCTAAAAAAACGTACTAAGAGAACAAAATACTTCTGCTATCAGAAAAGTTTGCCCCATGTTGCATCACCATGTCTATTTTTATTTCACGAATCCAATTTCAAAGACATTTCCATTTTTCTGGTATGTGGGGAAAAACCTTGCCTATTTTCAGTGAAAAGGAAAATGTCGGGATTTGAACCACCATAAATAAATAGAAAAATCCTAAATTATGAATTAATTCACACATTCCAATGTCTGCCTCTTGAACAGAATGAATACCAAACAAAACGGCTGTAAAAAGATACTGCAACCCATACTTCAGGATATCAAGGCAACACAGATAAAGAGACTCAAGTGCAAAGAACTTTATCATCACAACTTCTCCATTCTCACTTTTAGACCTTTATACCTCTATATTGGCCCTGTTACTGCACCCACAGGCCCCGAACATGAATATTTGAAACTGTCTGTCGTTATATTCAAGGTGTGGCCCTTGTGTTGACGAACACAGCCTTCAATAT